AAGACCGGCCACAAAGCGACGGAGATAATGTGTAGTTGAACTGAGTATTGTTGAGTCGAGCACGTGAGACGTTCGTTGAGAATTGTAGCGTTCGTTATAGCGCGACTGTTGAAATTAAGTGTATCGCAAAGTTATATTCAGAAAGAATAAACCAGTTTTATTTAAGAAAGGACTTGTGTCGCTAAAGTTTCATTGGAACGAATTTACGGAAAATTAACTAACGAACGGAGGCGTAACAAAGGGGGCGCCTCGATTGCACTCAGGCCTCCCCGATCATTCGAGAAATTTCACGCACGCTACCAGCACCAAACGCGCCAGTAGCGTCACGTAACTTCCGCTGTCATAACACTACCTTGTTCGCGGCGCTAAAAACATCCGTGATCAAAACTACTACATGGGGCCCGGCATGGCCAGGTGGTTACGGCGCTCGACTCGTAATCTGCAGGCTCGAATCCCTGTCACCCCAATTATGCTAGCCCTTTCAGCCGTGGGGGCGTTATAAGGTGACGGTCAATCCCACTATTAATTGGTAAAAGAGTAGCCCAAGAGTTGGCGGTGATGACTAGCTGCCTTCCCTCTAGTCCCACACTGCTAAATTAAGGATGGCTAGCGCAGATAGCCCTCGTGTAGCTTTGCGCAAAATTCAAAACAAAACAAACCATAACTACTACGTGTAGTAGTAAACCTAAATCGCTACTTGCAGCAACAAAGTGATCAGTCCAGCGACTTGTATCTGCAATGTTAATGTTTAATTTAACTTGAAGAAGCTTTAAGTAAATTCAAAACGAAACTATTACTGATTAACTATTTTTGCCTCAGCGAGGTCACGTGACTAGTATCACGCCACGTCCTTCTCGAAATATCCTGCTCTAACATTTACCAGAGATGTTAGTCTTGTATATATAAGACGGTCACAACGTGACGGAACAATGAGTAATTGAATGTATGCGGACAGAATATTGTTGGCCACGTGAGACGTGAGTTATAGCGTTTGTTATAGAGCGACTGTTGAAATTAAGTGTATCGTAAAGTTGTATTCGGAAAGAATAAACCAGTTTTATTTAAGAAAGGACTTGTGTCGCTAAAGTTTCGTCGAAACGAATTTACGAAAAATTAACTAACGACTGGAGGCGTAACACTATTATTTTATTACAAGTTATAATAATACAGCTTTTACAGTAGGGAAACTATTTTTTATAACGGTCGTGAGACGTTGCGATCAATCTCCAGTGCACAAGTTTTTGTCCTGCTTCCAATGAAAGTAAATTCAAATACAGTATACTGTTACGACAGCGGAAGTCACGTGACGCTGGAAGCATGGGCGCTGGAGTTTCTAGAAGGATCATGACTGTTCCTGGCAACTCTAGTCTTTTCTAGGCACCCACTATTTTAGTATATAAGCCCGGCAAATAAATCGGAGATATAATTGCAGATAGACAGATATAGAGATAGATAATTGAGTCAATCGAGCTGTAGGCACCGTAATTAAAGTGCGTGAATCGTTGTGAATTATATCGTGTGTTTATAAAAGTAGTTAACTTTAAAGTGACTGTGGGAATTAAGTGTATTACAAAGTTTGTAACGAGAAAGAATAAACTAGTTTTCATTAAGAAAGAAATTGTATAGCTGAAGTTTCTTGGAAAGAAATTTTACGGGAAATTATCAAACAAAGCAGATACTTAACAATATAACAACAACAGTGCAGTAGCAGACGATTTTAGGTTAGCAGACGGCGCATCCTAATAAGCTGAGCACGCGCACACTTTGCTAGGAATTGCGTAAATTTTAGAAATTTGTTGAGATTTAGACTTTTTTTAGAAAATAAATTTCCAGTTATCCAACCCAGAAAATACTTGTTTGATATTTTGGATTTAGTCTTTGTAAAATATATGTCTTATACATGGTAAGTTTGAAAATAAAAATCTTCGTAAGGCATCAGAAATCTCGACCCTCGCTGACCGGAAATCCAAGATGGTGCAGACCACTGGAATCAAGAAATCGGAGCCCTTAGTACATGTATTTGCAAAGATTTTAAATGGTATATGCGTCTATTTCTAGGACAAACTATGTTGCCGCATTAGTACGCGATGACTTCCTTCTTTACTAGTACTAGAGTTATAACAATTGTACCGTATCTGAGGCTTATTGAGTTATTCTTGTATTGGATAATTTGGCGTTAACTGTAACAGCGAATACTGAAAGTAAAATATAACGTACGGTACAGTCAGGATACCAGCTTTACACTTTTAATGTTGAAATTCAGTTAGTACTAACTAGTAAACTGGTATCTTAGTATTATTATTAGCCTAGTACTGTAAGTGTTAATGATTATATTTTGTTAAAGGTTTTTACATGCACTTTGGGCTGACTTTGTTAAATCGAGACATAAGCTGTTAATTGTACATTACTACAGCCTTATGCAAGTTATAGACTTAGCATGTATTATTCATAAAATTAATGTTTTAAAACGTAGCAATGTTCTTGTATTGCTGCCATCAAATCTGCTAAACTGTAGTTTGATTTGCCGCTTCTCGTTTCCATCTTCTTCTTCTTCTTCTTTTTTTTTTGCTACGTTTGAAGACGAAT